CTAAAGGAACTCGGAGGATGTTGCTTGTGTACGTCTATATCATTCAGTTTATGCAGCCGATGGCTTAAGCACGTGCTCTCTCGCTCTCGGCTTCTGAAAATTCGGCCCGACGCAGAAAGATGTTGTGGCGTTGGCTGTGGAGTTTCAGCCGAGGAGGTTCGCTTATCTTTTTTCAGAGGTTTACGTGCGCGTTTTCTTCTCCCCTAGGCCTGATGTATATCTCCTTTTGCCTTGCTCAGTGAGATCACCTGGCGGGGGAGCCGTTGCCGGCCTTTTCCGTTCCCGTCTTCAGGAGGGGGAGTCCTTGCTTCTCGGCCAGGAGTCTACGCAGACGGATAGCAGGTGAGGTCCGGGAGTCGGCGTGCCGCCCCGTCCCATGAGAGGCAGAAACCAACTCTTGGATATCCCGCCCCATCCAAGAGGACGGTAGGGTATAAGTTGGCGTGAAAGAAGGGCAAGGAAGGGCTTTTCCCCCAAGCTCTGTTTTTGGGGGCATAGGTTTCGAGCAGTCCGAGTCACGTGGCTCGTCGCTTCCTTGAGCGCTTGGACTGGCAGCCGGTCGGAACTAATTGGGTGGTGTGGTAAATTCACCTAAAGCATTAACGGCATACTTGTGTTCCCTTGAATTACACTGCTAGGGATAAAAGCATTTCTTTCTTTTTTAACATTATATTTTTTATTAGAGTTTCACTAAATTAAAAGCTAATAGATAATTAGAAAAGATATACAAACAAAAAAGAAGAGAACAAGAAAAAGGAAAAAGAAAGACATAAAAAGTGAACTCCCCTCTCCCTCCAGACAGGTATAAGCATTTACAATAACTTCACACCTTCTCTGGTATTACAGAAAAAGAAATTCTTCCCATTTCTTATCATTAAATAACCAAATTTTTTTTAAAAATTGATAGTCTTACACAGTAAAAGCATTAAGAATTCCAGTAATAATAACCCATATGTTTTAAACGGTTAAATCTGATTTACATTTTGACTTATAACTTTCTCTGATAAGTAAAATATTTTAAAAAGTATCCCCATAAGCATAAAGAATATCAATACAACATACTTTAAACTAGATTCAATAGGTCCCTTTTACATACTAACCCCTACCTTTCTCTAACAAATAGGAAATAAAAGATTCATCCATATATAAAAAAAATCTTTACATCGTCTTACAGTCCTGGTCAGAAAGATTCCAATAATAACCCAAAATAAAAGCTTATATAATTTAATCCTGATCGAATAAGTCCACTTTGAACACCTTTTTCTTCTTTTTAAGAGGCTTGATTTTCAGTTGCTTCTTCAAATAAAGTCCCAGGTAATAATTTCTTATCATTTTCTCCCTGTCTGTTTGCAGAAGAAACTTAATAGGTTTAGCATTTCCCTTCTGTGGATCCAAAGTAAAATAACTCTCCAAATCACTCTTCTGATTTGTAATATGGATATCCCCTTTGATTATTAAAACATCAGCCAGCAAATTTGTGTATCCATTACAACTTCTTTCTCCTTGTCATTCTTGTAATCAAACATCTTTAAATCCATTTTCAGATCCACAACATCTTTTTCCATAACTTCCATATCTCTTTTATAATCTGGCATTTCTTTAAAGTCCATTTTAAATTCCTTATTCAAATCATCCTCAGCTTCTGTTTTATCCACTAGAATCTTTTATTCTTCTATAACCTCTGTTAGATCCAATTTAAAAAATAAGTCCTGAACACATTGTTCTCAAGCGGATTTAAATTCTTCTATAGTGAGACAATGT